GGCCTCACCAGGGCTGAGTAGAGGGGCAGGATCCCCTCCCTCGACCTGCTGGAGATGCTCTTCTTAATGCACTCCAGGATCCCACTGGCCTTCCTGGCCACGAGGGCACACTGCTGCCTTAGCTGCTTCAATGTCAAGGACTGCCGAGGAATGCTCCAGCCTCCAGTTCCAGCCTCCAGCACCGCCACTTCCTTATGCCATTTGTTAAGTGGCAAGCGCCCAGGAGCGGATCACGCTGGGTTTTATGGAGGAGGTAGGTTATGGAAAGGTGCAAGAGCAAATCAAAGAGGGAGAGGTTACAAAGTACCTATGCAAAATATAAAATCAAATCTCTGCAATCCAGCAGCTCTGAGCTTTCCTGCAGACAGAGCAGAAGAACAGCTTACAATAAAAATACATTTTATGAGCTGTCCACAAAGTTGGTTATATTTTCCCAGAGCCTAGAAAAGTACTTACAGAGGAAATGCCACTTCTGATCTTATTAACCTCTGCAGCGCACGTTATTAACTTTTGGGTTTATTTACAGCATCACCATTTACTTTTACAATATTTCTATTAACTCCATTGGAGTGAACATTGCTTGATGCACACAATCAACACCAAGTGCTGTCATAATCTGCTCTGCACCTTGCCAGCTGTTCTGGGTTCATATCTTTACCCAGGAGGAGGGAGGTTGGATGCAGCTGGAAAAGGCTATTTGAAGAACAAAATAAAAAACATATCTTCCAACTTGGGACTTAAAAAGAATAAAACAAAATAAGGCAAAGTCAATGGTGTTTCTTCAGGAGGGTGCTGAGTTACACTGGTTCACAGTATCTGCGTCATGAGCAGGAGTGCAGATAAAGCACAGCCAGGCTCCAACTCAGCTGGACTTGAGGAATCTAGGAAGGTTGTTAGGTAAGTGAGGGGAGCTGCCTTCAGCTACTCCACATCTCAGCAGTCTTTCTAAGATACCAAGAACAGCTACTGGCTTTATGTATCCATAAATTCTCAACAAATCCCAGCTTGCTCGGAAGCAGTGGGAAATGCTGGACTATTATTAGATGAAGTCTCTCTTACCCGTCTTTCCCTCGGTTATGGATTGCCAGCTCCTCCCCAATGCCCTCCTCCTCTTTGAAGCTCTCCCAGTCCAGTTTGGACTTCTCCAGGGTGCTCATCTTCTGCTTTTTGGAGGCAATCTTTCCAAGAAGGCTGCTCATACCACTTGGCCGCTTCACCCTGAAGGAAACAAGGAAGCAAAGGCTACTTCAATACAGGGAGGAGGCATCTGTTAGCAAGTAAGAACAGAGCTGGGACATGTCACAGGTAAGAGCAGTAACCTCCGTGAGGCTGAGCCACTTGCCCCGAGCAGATGGCCACCACCTTCAGGCAGCCTCCAGACAGCAAAGCCACATCTCCTGCAGATCCTTTTCTGTTGTACCCTGTATGCAGGAGAGTTCACTAGATGCATGTCTCAAGCACTCTCGTTTTGTGAAAGAGCTTTTTCATTTAGCTTTGAAGGGGAACAGAAAGCTTTCAGGGCAGACGAGCATTAAACCATCTAGTTTGACCCCCTGCGTACCCCAGCCAAGCCATTCCACTGATCACTTCCGTGCTAAGTCCAACTCTTTGTCTCTAGCTTAAAGCGCCGTTTTCTGGACGGGATCCAGGCTCAGTGCGTCACTGGCAATGCAAACACATCTAGGATTTAACCATTTCGTTGTTGTAAACGAGTCTGTTTTCAACTTGATTTTTTGCTCTCATTTCTGGCTGCCGCTGTTTCCTCTAAATCTAAAAGCACTCGACGCCCGGGCTGCTCTCATTAGCAGCATCCTCACACACTGGGACGGAGTTGTACCTGAATCTTCGTTTTGACAAACACATGGAACGCTTTATGCCTCTCATTGAAATGCATTCTCCCTCAGCCCATGTATCATTCCTAAGATTGTATCCCCCTATGCTTCACAGCCTTTGGAGACACTGAAACGTCGTGCAATCCACGGCCGTGAGCAAGACACCCTTCTTCCGAATGCAATCCTCCATTTCCAGCCAAGGAGAGTGCCAATCCCATTAGATACACCATCAACAACACACTGATCCCCAAAGCAGGTGCCTGGGATCCCGCAGCTTCCAACGGGCCCCCGTTTAGCAGAGAGGCCACCCGGGGCTCCCACCTCCTTGTTCTCAGACAAGCGGAGCCATCGTCAGAGCTGGGGCGCTCCCATCTGCTCCATGCTACCGAGGACCCGGATCCCACCCACGCGCCTGGCGCCTCAATCTCCGCTTTGTGCTGGGGAACGCGCTCACACGGCATGAAGGACTAGGGATGGCCGGGTCACCATCCGGGGAAGACGATTCTCAGAGCTAGGAATGGGCAAAAACAAACGCGTATTAACCCGTTCTTAAATCACCCCCGAGAGCAGGGGCAAACACCATCCCATTGAACTCCTTGTTTACGCACATTCCAGAGATAACTGCAGGTCTGTGAAGCCCTCCTCTCTGCAAAAAGCCCACGAGGAAATGATTCTCGTTCCAAGGAGACAGAGGAATTTGGGATGGGGCAGCATGAGGAAGGCAGCCAGGTGAATGCAGCAGGCTACTCGCGCGCAGGAGTCTCCAGGCGGGAAGCACGTTCTGCCCGTGGAGAGCTGCTTTTTGGGAAAGCATCCAAAGCTGTCCTTATCGGATCATTACTGTAGTTTATGCTTCCATAATTTGCAAGCCTCTAAAGAAAAATAATTCCACAGTTCATATGGATTTAAATCAAAGAAGATGACATCTTTATAAGCTTCAGCCAGCGGAATCGCAGAGCAAGACGGGCTGGCTGTGGTCACCTGGGGTGGCAGCTTCCTGGCGCTGGCTGGGATATCTGAGGTGCAAGACCCTGGATTGAGGGCCCCTTGGCAGGCTCCGTATCTGCTGGATAAAGCTGCCTGCCCCGTCTCATGCTGTCAGGCCAGAAGGCCACATAATGAAACCCAAACCCTCGCTTAGTCCCCAGATTCTGCCAAATCCAGCATCAGATACATGCTCAGATTGCAGGGGAGAGGGGAGATATGACAAATCAGGTGGAAAAAAAAATGTTTAAACGAGATATCGGGCAAGATCCCTCGTGGCAGTCCCCGCTGAGCAGCAGCTTGGGTGTGCGTGAGGCAGCTCTGTGCATCGCCCTGGGAAAAGGTGCCCACTCTCCCACTCGGGACCCGGGCCTGGCGCTGGGGAGGACAGAAACACACACACCGTTTGGATCTGCAGATATTCCAAGGGACGGAGGGCAAGCTTTTGCCACACTGCGATATCTTGGACAGCCGCCTGGAATAAAGTTGATTCCCTGGGATAATGAGCACAATCAGAGACCACCATCTGCAGGACAGCAAGGATGCGACCTGGGACCTGCTAAATGCCCAGCGGCTCTTTAGCAAGATCTGGAGTAAAGGCTCTTTTCAGATGCACTTCTGCCTACAATCCGGCCTGCCTTGACCATGGGGCAGGCAGGGAGGCAGAAATGTGGGCAATTATCCCTAGATGTCCCCTAATTTGCTCAGAAGAAAAGAGCTTGTGCCCTGAGAGAGACATCCCGGCTACCCAAGGCAGTCACAGCCCACCTGGATCCTGCCAGCTCTTCCGTAGGTGGGAGCTTCCACTCACTTTTCCCTGGACAACAGCCGAGCGCGATTCTGCAGAACAGGCAGCGTGTGCCTGGAAAACCTGCTTGGAAGAGCCAGGGGCTCCGCGCGGGCGGCTCGCGGTTCCCGAGCGCTGCGGGGCGACAAGCAGGCTCCCAGGTACATGGCACAGGCCAGGCGGGACAACCCTGCCCCGCGCTCCTGGCAGCAGCCCGGGCACAGCGGGAGCAGCTTGGGACACGTGGCGGGAAGGGCTGCGGCACGATGCCCTCTGTGCAGCTGTGGTGCAATGCCCTCTGTGCAGCACAGTGCGATGCCCTCCGTGCAGCTGCAGCGTGATAACCTCCGCGCAGCGCAGCACGATGCCCTCTGTGCAGCTGCAGCGAAGCCCACGCAGGGCAGCTCCACGCCGCGGCTAGCAGCGGAGCCTGCGTGAGCGCCGCGGCAGGGAGCAGGCCGGATTTGGGTCGCTCTCCAGGAGCCTGCTCTCCCGTGGGAACCCTGCTGGACATTCACAACGTTGTGCACGGCCACCCGCCACCCTCCCTGTCCCGCAGTGCCCCCCCTACCATGGGGGCAGCATCTCAGGGTGAGGTGCAATGGGAGAGCAGGGCAGGGGAGCAGCGACTGCAGGAGAAGCGCGGGTTTGGCCAGTGTTCCCCAGGCCAGGGCTGGCCCAAAAATACTGCTGGTGGCTGCTGTCAGCCCCATGTCAGAGACAGCTCCTGGGCAACGTTATCCGAAGCTCTGCTCCTGCCCGGCCAATTCCATGCTCTTTGCAGCAGGGCTGCTCCTGGGCCGGGCCCTGGCATGGTCTGATGGACATGTTCAAATCTGCTGCTGTTTCTTCGCTCTGCACCAAGTATTTTAACGCCCTGAAAGAATCCGGCAGCGAACCTGGGGGTGGGAATTCCTATACTTGTGCCAGAACGAAGTAAATGAGAGACATTAAAGTCCAATTAAAAACTTGCTTGGCCTTAAATGCCTCATCTGTTTCAAAAGCAAGTAAAGGGGCCTGATTAATTGCATTCAGTGCCAACAAGAGGAATTATTACCCTTTTTGTACTCATTAAGGGTATCTGCTGTGGCATCTTTAATCACTAAGGCACTTAAAAGAGAGACAGTAATTCGCTAAGGCATAATGGATCCTGGGGATGCGAATCAGGACAATCCTCTATTTAGGACACAGAGACACGCTCTTACTTTCCTCAATTAAAAAGAACAGCCCCAATCAGCCCCTGGGCAGCAAATAAACACGGCCCTGGGCTGCATCTTGGGGGACAGGCTTCCCTGCACCCATGCAGAGTCCTCAGGGCGCAGCCTGCGCAGCACTTGCCACACTCGGGCACAGGGGCAAAGAGCAGCCAGAGCCTCCCCTGCTACCCCAGCTCCAACAGAAATGCTCTGTGTTCCTCTCCATAACAATCCAATTTCTTCCCACCTCAGCGCAAGCCTGGAGCCTGCCCAAGATCTTCGGGAACTGTTGCAATACAAATGATAAAGTGGCACCTTCACGAGCAACCCTGCTACCTTGCACCAGGGAGGTCGGCAGCCTTCTGGAGATGCGAGCCCACCTCAGAAACGTGAGCCTGACTTGGCATCACTAGTTTTACAGAACACTCTAAAGCCAAATGAAAATAGGGCTCAAAGAGCCTCTTAGTCCATTCCCTCAGCCACTGCATGATCAGGTCCTCTCTTCTGGAAGGCCTCCTGAAATCAGCCCCTCACATCAGAGATTTCAGTACTTCCTAACTAACTAACTAAGTCTTCCCCAATGTCTAACTCGGATTTCTTCGCTCGGCCTGTGCACGTGACTTGTTATCTTCTCCCTGGAGCTACTGAAAGCAGTTCATTTCCTTACGTTTCACAGAGGCCTTTGATGCCATTGAAAACTCTCCCTATCCTCTCCTCAGCCTTTGCTTTCCTAGACTAAACAATCCCAGTTCTTTCAAGCTTTCCTCATTTCTCATGGATTTCCAGCGCTCTGACCATTCTCCCTGCTCTCCCCGGACTCTCCTATTGGTCCACATCTTCCTTGACATGCAGTGTCCAAAACGGGAAAGGGCTCCGGCTGCGGCTCCGCGAGCACGGAGTGAGAGGGGATGCTCCGCACGCCTGTGGAGCGCGCAGCTCCTTGCAGAGCCCGCGATGACGTGTGCCTTTTCCACAACCGTGTGATCCTGTTGACTCATGCTGAGCCTGTGATTCACTTGGATCTGCCCGGCGGCTGCCAGGACAGTTGTTTCTTTCCCGGATTTGTGTGGACGACTGCTGCTACCCAAGCGCAGGCTTCACGGGTGCTCTGCGCTCCTCCTACCTGCCAGCCCGTTTCCTTGGGTGCCCTCAGACGTCTTTGCGAATCGGCCTCTGTGCTCCATGACACCGACAGCCACAGCTGCCGCCGGCCCCGCGGAAAAGCAACTCGTGTCTTTCTGAAACACCTACCCAGCAGCTGAACGAGTGCCAGCTGGCCAAACCAGAGCAAGCCGACGGCCGGGAGGAGGCAGGGAGCCGCAGGAGCGCGGGATGAGCCGGGTGTCAAACACCATGACAGGCT